AATGCCTGGAGGGAAAATGGAGAAAGAGTTTTCTCGAGGGAAAATGTTGCCACCAAAAACCCCTGTGCTCAGCCAGATGACTGGTCATGTGCTTTGCCCATACAGAAAGTTCCTTTCTCATATGCAAATTCTTAGGAAATACACTGCCCACACCACTCACTTCTGAAAAAAAGAAAAAAGTTTCACCAGTTGAACAAGAAATTAATTAAAATAGAGATCACAGAAGTGAGGAAGCTATGGTACAAAATGACAGCAGTAAACACTGAGATTATTTGAGCATTGTTTAATTCAAAACCATTTTTTAAAGAGAATATCTAGAGCGTGTATTAGTACCCTGTTTGAGCTAAGAATCCGAATTATCTTTGATTAGAACAAGGTGGTGGGGTGTTTGGTGGCAGGAAGAGAGGAAGTAAAGCAAGCTAAGTTCTCATCTCTCATAGGAGGAAGTCAATGGTAACACTTGGGCACTGATATAGAAAAATTTAAATGCACATATTACAGTATGTTTTTTAAATGTTTGTTTTCAAGTAATCAGTAAAAGCTAAATCACTACAAAAACTAAGCAAATAAAATGTCTATATAGAGAAAGACAAGTAAAAGGAAGCAGCACAATATGCCAGTCAGAGGAAGACAAGTATCACATGACCTCACTCATATGTGGAGTCTAATGAACAAAATAAACTGATGAACAAAATAGATCCAGAGACATAGAAGCATGGAACAGACTGACGAATCTCAAAGGGAAGGGGGGGAGGGGGCAGGAATAGATTAACTAAAGAACTTATATGCATATATGCATAACCAATGAACACAGACAATAGTGCCATGAAGACCTGGATGGGGTTGGTGGGGGGCAAGTGCAGGGTGGAGGGGTCAATGGGGAAAAAAGGGGACATATGTAATACTTTCAACAATAAAGATAAATTTTAAGAAAGGGAACAACATAAAATAAACCGAGCATAAAACCCAGAGCATATGACTATTTTATGTATAACCATACATTTTTAAAAAGGTTAAACTCACTGTTCGACCTTTTTATCTTCAACAAAGATATCTAGAGGCTAAACATTTCAGATTAAAATGTGGCCACTCCAAAATATCTAAGTAAACATCATACACACAAGGTAACCCAAAATAATATGGCAAAAATAATCAGTAAAAGGAAGGATGGGCAAGCAACAACTAAAGGAGCAGGACCATGACTATCCACTGAAACATAATTCCAAAGCAAAATAGAAGAAAAATAAAAATTCACTATTCATGCTGAATTGATAATAGAATCAAAAGTATGGTATTGACATATACAGAGCAGAAACTGCTAGAGAAAGGGGAAGTCAAGCAGTGCAACAGTTTTGGGACTGTTATTTCCACTTTCAATTTTTGACAAATGATTAGATATAAAACACGTGGGGCCATAGAATACTCTAAATAATAGATATAATTATTAGAACGATAATTGACATTTCTTCTTTTAAAAATATTTCATTTTTTTGTTTCCCTTAAAACATTTATCGAATTGATGATATACTAGACCATACTAGAAATCCCAGTAAATTCCCCAATCAGGGAAACTTACAGTCATATTTTAGAATATCCCTTCAATAAATCTCAAAATTATGTAGACATAAATAAAACCAACAGCAAACTTCTTAACAATGGAAGCCAGAAGAAAGTGGAAGGGTACTTTCAAAGTGCTCAGAAAAAAAATCTGGCATTTTTTTCTCTTTCTAGAATGAGAGTGAAATAACTGAGAACAAATAAAAACTGAACTTATGTCCAACAGATACTCACTAAAGGAACTTCAGAAAGAAGGAATGTTATCCTAGAAAGAGTATGAGATGCAATATTAAATGATGAACAAGATAGCCATAGGCTAAACATTTCAGTCAACATAAAAATATTAAATGTATAAAATAACAATGTCTACATTTTCAAACAAATAAACCAGACAGATACAAAATGCAGCACAATGACAGTATTAAAGATTGGATGGAGTTGGCCAGACTCAATGTTATAACGTGCTTTGTTGTTTGAAAAAAAGATTACATAGAGAAAATTTCAACTTTTAAGTTCAGTATCAAAAAGTTTGAAATAGCCATTGGAAAAAATAGGCGGTATACATTCTCAAGAATAAAGAAGAGAAATAAAATAAATTAAAAAAATAATAACCCGAAAGAAGCATAACAGGAAAGAAAAAGAGATCATAAAAGCAGAACACATAGCAACCACAAGGTAAGATGGTAGGAGTTCGAAATAAGGTAATGATTACAGTAAATAGAAATGAATTGTTCTCAACAGTGAAAAAAATATGTAGACTATATTTTTAAAAATCAGCTATATGCAATTTAGACCCAACAACTTGAGGATACATAAGGATAGCCAAAAGAAAAGCTACTCAGAAGATGTTAACCAAAAGAAACTGTTATTATTATATTAATATCAGCAAATTATATTTCAAGACAAAAGAGTTACAGTTAAAAAGAACCACACCTGAGGATTCAGTACTCAGTCAGGTGACCATGCATCACTGGCCAGCTCCCTGTACCGTTGGCCATTCATATGCCTTTGCCAACTTTATCTTCTGTTCTCAGTTTTCCTCTTACTACTTGTAGAATGTTTCATATTTCAGTTATGAATCATTTGTAGTTCCGTGCCTTGCACATATATTGTCCCAGCATGTGCTTGTCTTTTCAGAGGTTTGTGCCGTTTATAGGGATTGGTTCAGTTTTCTCTCTGAGCTAACCTTGAATGCGTTGCTGAGACTCTTGCCAAAAGGAGCCCCAAATCATGGGATCCAACTTAGCCAGGGCAATTGGCAACATTGAGATGAACAGCCTCAGCGCCCACAGTTGGTGGTGCTGTGTTTGGAAAGTGTTTGGAAAACTCAAGGGGCTGCTGAGTCTCCCTGTTACGGCTCCAAAGGTGACTACAAACCCGGAGTGCGAGGGTGGGTCGTGGTGCAATGAAGTCCTTTCAGAAAGATGATACCGCAGATCTTTAAACTCTCAAGCCACGACTCCGTTCACATTCGGAAAACCAGAGAACTTCTGTGGTGAATCTAAACGTCATCTCTCATTTCCCGAGTTCTATGATAATCTCTCTGAACAATCAGAAACAAAATTTAATTGTAGGGGTCACTGAAGGTAAATTCACAGCCTCATCAAGTCTCTTATATGAAAGTCAGGCATTGGTTAGAAAGGAGTGGACCCCGATACCTGGAATCCTTTCTGAAGACGACTCTGTTACAATCTGTGAGTAACCAGACCAGAGAGAAGGAAATCTCTGCACAGGTGGGTTAAATAACATGCGCCAGGTCTTACAGGTAGGTCCTCTGTCTGTTCTGTTAACGTGGTCATCTTTATCATAATGCCAGCGTCACCGATCAATGAGAAGAGATGGGCTTAAACACAGCAATAAAAATGAATATGCTTTTTCATTTGGAACAGAGGGAGGAATACCAATGAGGGCGATGATTGTGTGTCTCTATGGATAAAGAATGGCTGACTAGTGAGGAGTGAACATTCTGGCAGGAAACAGAACAAGACAGAATGCAGACACATAATTCACAAACCAGACAGCGAGAGAGAAGCTTCAGAATAAAAAGAAGCATCGACATTTGTGCGGGTGGCCAAGTGCGATCCGGGTGGCCACGGCTCCTGTCGGAAGGGCAGGGGCTGTCAGGCTCTGAGCGCATTTCATCTGTGGGCGCTAAAGAGCAACACGAAATGAGAGAGCCTATTTGGCTTCAGAAAAGTGATGGAATTGTTTCCAGGAAGAATGATTAAGAGTGGAATTTTAAAATAGGGAAACGGCTTCAGGTTCTCTGAGTTTATACTTAATAAAATCTGGACAGAGGAGGGTGAGGGGTGGTAGGAGAGGATGAAGGGGGATACATGGTGAAGGATGGAGGTTTGACTTGGGGTGGTGAACACACAATACAGGGTACAGATGATGTGGTGTAGAATTGTACCCCTGAAACCTATATAATTGTATTAACTAATGTCACCTCAATAAATTCAATGGAAAAATCTGGAATGGCTTGCATTCAATATGAATAAACTGTAGAGAGCTCATCCAATCCACATGTAGATGTTTGACATTATATTTATAAGGAAACTGAGGCCCAGGCGGTTAAGTGGCTTTCCAAGGTTCTCAAACTTGGTGGTAAAGCTGCGGCTAATGCCAACAATTCATAGATGTCAGATTATGTGCAAGTGATTGTACTCTGGATACTAGCGTTCACTCTTTTTTAAAAAAAATATATTTTTATTGATTTCAGAGAGGAAGGGAGAGTGAGAGTGAGATAGAAACATAAATAATGAGAGGGAATCATTGATTGGCTGCTCCTGCATACCCCTTCTTGGGATCGAGCCCACAACCTGGGCATGTGCTCTTGACTGGAATCGAACCTGGGACCCTCAGTCCACAGGCCCATGCTCTATCCACTGAGCAAAACTGGCTAGGGCCTAACGTTCTCTCTTTAATACAAATTGGAAATGCTTCAATTAGGAGACGGGTTTATGATCATTACTCTACTTTTATGTTATTTAATTCAGCTCAATTCAAAACATGTATTGCATTAGGAAATACAAAATTGAAAGAGATACTGTCCCTGTGTTGAAGAACTTGTAAGTTATCAAGACAAACTGATATAGAAGAACATCCAATATGGCAATAATTTGTGTCCAATCTTTCCTGAGGAGGACTTATACCTGTGACACTTTAAAAATACAGGTCCCTGTGTCTCGGCCTTGAAGATTCAGGTTCTTAGGTGTAGAGCAGTGGTTCTCAACCTTGGCTGCACATTAGAATCACCTGGGAATCCTTTTAAAATCCTGATTTCTGGGCCTCATCCTCCGGAAATTCTGTTTCTTTGTTATGGGGTGGGGCCACAACATTAGTAACAAAGAAACAGAATTTCCGGAGGATGAGGCCCAGAAATCAGGATTTTAAAAAGAGTCCCAGGTGATTCTAATGTGCAGCCAAGGTTGCGAACCACTGGTGTAGAGGCTCCTTTAATTACTTAGTAAATATTCCAGGTGATTCTTATGATCAGGAAGATTGGGGAAACACTAGCGCCCTATTTATAGATTTGTCTGCAGAGTGGAATCACTGAGGAAACTTCAAAAATTAGCAAATCTTCTGTCCCACCCAAGACTGATTTGATTGATTGTGCTGCTCTGTGCCCTAGGGATTGGATATTTAAAGATTCTCCCGGTGATTCCAATGGACAAATGAGTTGGGGGAATACTTCACTTTGTTACCGGGATGTGGCACACAAGGAAGGCGTCACAAAGCCAATGCCATCCAAGGACTCCCCTGCTCGGATCCATCAAAAACCTACCAGGTGATCACCCTTTGTGTCAAGTACCTCTTAGTCATTAAAATAAACCTACTGGGTTAATACCATTATTATCTGTGTTTCATAGACTAAAAAGTGGTTAACGTTTAGAGAACTTGCTCAAGCTCATAGAGTTTGACAGTGACTGAGCAGGTATTTAAAACTAGTTGTCTGAATCTGGAGCCTCAGCCTTTGTCACTTTGCCAGACTGACTTTCAGATGCAGCTTGAAGGATGGAGGGGTTTGCAACTGACAGAAACGGGGACAGAAAGTATCCAAGGACAAGGAAGGCCCAATGTCCACACAAGGAAGAAGTACGATAAGTCAGTTTGGAAAGTTTGGCTCCAAGGAATGGAGGGCCTTGAAGTCATTGATGCTTGACTAAGCATCAGATGGTTGATGGGTTCATTTGTTCATTCATTCATTCATTCATTCAACATATTGTTATTTTATGGGGAATGTCAACTCACCTGTTTATAGAAGGGAACATGAAGGGCTAACATTTTAGCATTTTCTAGCACAGTAGTCCTGCAAAGCTATGAGTATAAGTAGAACCATGATAAACAACTGCTTTGTCAAGTCTGTCAGTATCTCTGTTAGATATTTGGTTCAATTATCCAGCAGAGAAGAATAATGAGAAAACATATGAGCTATTTTTATAATGTTGGATATAAATTATTTTTAAATGGCACTAGTGAACTTAGTCAATACTATATTGACTTATTAATTACAAAGAATTGAGAAAAGTTAGGTTATTTTAAGGATGTATGTTAAATCCATAGTTTGTTTTTCAGTTAATTAAAAAATTAAATTGAACTTATCAATTCAACCTGAAAAGCGCAGTGAATGTAGTAATAACAGAAACATCCTCAGCCCAGGCCACATGTGTCCATTACTTGGAATCCGTAATGGACCTCAATGCATGGACCAGTGAAACTGCATTTTATCCACCTGAGGCTTTGCAAACTCATGTATAAGCCACCTTCCAAGATCAAGTCTCACTATTAATTTCAAGGGAGTTTCCACAAAGCAACAAAAATCTCTCAAGCAACTTCCATGCTGTCAAGGGTAACAGACCCAGTAATTGCATCTCTATGCAGCACAGAGATGAGACGGCTTCTGATCTAGTATTACACCAGTGAAAGCACTGCATGGGTCAGGAGGAGCAGTTAAATCAGATCAAGTACAGGACCTGCAAGAGCGCGTGTATGTACACGTACTTGCCTAATGAGGCTGAAATCCAATCTGTGGCGTCCACAGAGTCACTGTAAGAGGCTCCCGGCTAAAGTTAATGTGGAATGACATTTCTATATAAAAATGTTTATATATACATATGTATTTATATATTTTGTTAATTCTCACCTGAGGATATTTTTTCCTATTGAATTTTAGAGAGAGTGGAAGGGAGGGAGAGAGAGAGAGAGAGAGAGAGAGAGAGAGAGAGAGAGAGAGAGAGAAACGTAGATGTGAGAGATACACATCAATTGGTTGCCTCCACATTTGCCCCTACAGAGGCTAGGGATCTAACCTGCAACCCAGACACATGCATGCCCTTGACTGGGAATAGAACCCGTGACCCTTCGTTGCTCGGTCTGAGACTCTAACCACTGAGCACACCGGCCAGGGCAAAAGTGTTTTTAGTATATTTTGATACAAAGTAATGTAATAGGATCCTTCCAAGTTCCTTAAATGATAAAAAGATTCTCATTAATCTTCTAATCTTCTTAATCAGATTATTCAACTCTTGGTAAAATGGAAAGGTTTTAAGAAATACCGGGAAAAAGCAATCATAACAGCTGAGGAAAATCATCAAACTTTAAAGAAAATGGTGCTATAAACTTAAGTTGAATTGAAGATGTCCTATTTTCCTCCACCTTTTTAATGTGAACGTAATAATACTTAAAATGGCTCTATTATACATGTTTCATTATCTAATTTAGTTGTATTAGACTGCTAGAAGTAAAATAGATGCAATGTCTACTTTTTCATAACAGATAAAGGTATTTCAGTCAGACAGCTTGGCATTCTTCAGAGAACTCTCTAATACAAGGTCTTGACTTATCCTGGAAACATCACAACCAAACTGGAGATAGCTGAGGCAGTGGGGCTGCACTGAAGATGAAGGAACTGTCTTGCAGAAAGTTTAAGCGGCTTTTCTGAAAGCACACAGTCATCTAAGTGGCCTGATGCTTCAATTTTTTTTTCCCGGTGAGTGGAGGAATGATGAATTTATGTAACCTACAGAAAGAGACGATCTCTTAAGATGACTATATTCCTCTGTAAGGGCTGCCATAACAGTGCCACTAACTGGGTGGCTTAAGCAACAGAAATGAATTGCCTCACGGAAGGCCAAAGTCCAAAACCAGGTTGTGGCAGGCTGGTGCCTCCCGAGCCCTGGGAAAGAAGGGATCTGTTTCAGGTCCCTCTCCTTGCCTTGCAGACGGCCATGTGCACGTGCACACGGCGTTCTCCATGTCTTCCTGTCTTCTTCCCTCTGAGCATGTCTGTGCCCAAATTTCCCCTTCTAATAAAAACAGCAGTCATATTGGATCAGGGCCCACACGGATGACCTCACTATTACCTGGCCTCTGTAAAAACCCTATCTCCACATAAGATCATATTCTGAGGTCCTTGGAGTTAAAACTGCAGCCTACAACTGTTGGTGGGACACAGTTCAACCCATGACAATGACCTTGACCTCATATCCAAGAACGTGACATGGCTGGTCTCCTAACTGCTAGGAAGACAAGTGCTGGGATTGAGAGTCGAGTATCTGCCAAGCCCACCTTTCTTTTAAGAGACCTGCTCCGCTATAGAGGTCAGTCCTCAGCAGTCACTTTAGAGCCTCGTGAACCTTGACCTTTGTTAATTGTTCCACAGTGGGCACGTTACTCAGCGAAGGTACTCAGATTCACCTGGGAATTTCTAATTGGTGGACCAAGGGCAGCTGCTCTGTCCGGTTGGGTTGCTGGACTGGATACACATGAACGCAGCAGCCCTGGGCAGCTCCTCCGGGCCTGGCCTTCGCCCGACCCAATCCATGTTGTTGTAGGTTCTCCTTAGGGTTCTAGGAGAACCTACTACACTTTCAATAAATTCTCCTCTCTCTTTCTCTCTCGTTATTTGTGTGTATGTCTCCTGAAAAAGTTTAACATCTATTTCTCTTCCTGGCAGCAACAACAAAAAACTTAGGTAAGAGAAGCACAGCTTGATAGATAACAATGTTATCAGACATTGTTTTTAATAAACGTTTCTCTTTGAATCCGAACATATAGAAAAAATAGGCAGAGCTAATTCTCATGAACTCTGATCCACCAGAGTCCCCCCCAGATCCACCCCACAGCCATCCTGCCACTGAGGGATCTCTCTGCAACCGAGTCTTTTTATAAATTGTGGCTTAAAAACCATGGCAGCTCGGTGCCCCCTCATTCCTAGGTGTTTCTATTTTATTTTGGGTATGCTAAAAATATATTGATTTCATTCAAAAGTAACTGAGTTTAAGAAAATTATTTTCTATGCCTAAAAAGAAGCCTGGGAGAGCCAATACGTTTTCAAATAGATGAGAACACAACATGAGGTGAGCTGAGCAAAATTTCCCGCAAGGTCCTTAGGAGACAAGGGGCTTCATATTTCTGACTGTATCTCTTGTTTATTCAAATTTCCAGGGCCTATTTGTCATTTTCAGTAACACAGAGTTTGATAACTAAAGGAAAGTAGATTCTAATTGCAAATAATTGGTTACTATTATAAAAGTGGCAGTGTTTAAAAATATGTGAATGCTGTTATTAATTCAGCAAGATGTGTTAATAATTATTAGTATCTTTCTCTTATTTTTGTGATGATCCTGAATTGCTCCATGGTCCTTCTTTTCAACAGGAATGTGTCCTGATGGTTCATCTTTAATTGGTTATTCTTTTTGGACTTAAAAAAAAATCATGGGTAGAAACCAAAAGGCCTAAACTGCCTTTAAATTTCTTTTTAGATTATTGGAGTGACATTGGTTAATAAAATTATATAGGTTTCAGATGTACAATTCTATATACATCATCTGTATATTGTATTGTGTGTTTACCACCCCAAGCAAGTCTCCTTCCATCACCATTTATTACCCCCTTCTATCTTCTCCCAACCCCCTTCTCTCTGATCTAAATAAACTTACTGGTCCTTAGACTCTTTGTCTGTAAAATAAAAGGTCTAAGCTATAATATTTTATATTTCTACTGACTTTGCAAAGCAGACGCTGTAAGTCACCTTCTAGTTAGTGAAGCCACCCTGTGCACCTCCAGGGCTGCTCACCACGCAGAGGACAGGGCAGCCCAGACCAGATGAGTCAATATTTTAATCAATTCTATCTTGTTCTCATTGCAATTAATTAGTAATATGGCCAGATCTCAGGCACATAAATCATGCACAAATTCCTTTGACACTTCAATATAAGATATGAAGCTTTCTCAATGGATCTTCTGATAGCATTTCCATTTTGAAAAACGTATTAGGCAGGAATCAAATTTTTATAAAGCATAACACATGAGGAAGAGAATCCTATATAATAAAGAGGTAATATACAAATTGACCATCACACCCCCACAAGATGGCTGCCTATGACCAGGCCAGCAGGGGGGATTAGGGATGGATGACCAAATGACTGAACAACAGGCTGCATGGGGTGACCAGGCTGGCAGGGAGGTTAGTGATGGATGACCAAATGACTGAACAGCAGGCTGTGTGGGGCAACCAGGCCAGTGGGGGGATTAGTAAGGGATGACCAAACGACTGAACAGCAGGCTGCGTGGGGCAACCAGGCCGGTGGGGGTGACCAGGATGGCAGGGGGGGCAGTTGGGAGTGACCAGGTTGGAGGGGGGGCAGTAAGAGGCGACCAGGCTGGCTGGTGGGGGGGTGCAGTTGGAGGCAACCAGGTCGGCAGTGGGCCAGTTGGGGGCGATTAGGCTGGCAGGGGTGGCAGTGAGGGGCAACTAGGCTGGCAAAGGGGGGCAGTTAGGGGCAACCAGGCCAGCAGGGGGGACATTTAGGGGTGACCAGGCAGGCAGGCAGGTGAGTGATTAGGAGCCAGCGTCCAGTATTGTGAGAGGGATCAGGCCAAAACCGGCAGTCGGACATCCCCCAAGGTCCCGGATTGAAGAGGGTGCAGGCTGGGCTGAGGACGCCCCCCCTCCTGTGCATGAATCTCGTGCACCAGGACTCTAGTGTTATAATAATACTCCATTTTCGAGGCTAGGAAATATTTGCTTCCCTCCCACCTGATGGTGAACAATAAAGAACAGAACTAAGTGAAACATGCTTTCTTCAGACCATTTTTGAGTGGTATCTTCTTAGTTAAATCTTATATTAAGGACCATCTTTCCTTGGTCAGTCTATAGCAGCCACCAGGTACTTTTAATCTTATGACTCTAGTTTAATTCTTCTTAGAGAATGTATCACAATCCTATGTTGTTATGCTATTGATGCGTTTATTATCTAAAAGAAGGTTCATGATTATGGGGACATTCCTACCTTGTTCATCATTGTATCCTCAATGTTTAGAATCCTGCCTGCTACATAAAGTGTAGTTGATATTTGTTAAATACTTAAAAATCATCTCCTGTCTGTCTCAAGAGAGTAGTAGAGTGTAGTGATTAATGACGAGTTCAGGAGCCAACACTTTCAAATCTGAGGAGGATCAGCTACAGTGTTCGCAGGGCCCAATACAAAATTAAAATGCAGGAAACTGTTCAAAATTGATTAAGAATTTTGAGACAGGGAGAATAGAGCATCAGATCTTCTACATATGATGTCCTTCAGAGCACTGCACAGGTCGCGTGCCCAGGAAGCTGACCCGAGTGACCTGGGGCAAGCTGCTTCGCCTTCCTGTGCCTTTTTACTCAGATCTCTTCTATTTCCTCAGAAGGTTGTTGTGACAATTAAATGAACATAATGTACGTAAAACTCTTAGAACAGTTTTTGGGCATAATAAGTACTATCTAAGTGTTAGTTCTTGCTATAATAAATATATTACCAAATATTATATAATATTGTTCTCTTTATTATTTTTCATTGTATTCCAAGAATATCTACTAAATAGCAAGGACTTAAATTATGTTTAATGAGAAGAGGAAAAATGGAAAATCTATGTTGTCAATTGAGACCATGTACATGGATAAAAGGCAAACACGAAGCTTCAAAGACTTTTTTTCTAAAAAAAAAAAAAGAGTTACTTATCTTGACTGAATTGTTAGTAGATATCAATGTAATCTATATAATTTTTTTAACCCATCACATTATAAAAACAGGAAAGGAATTTATTAAGGATGATTAAGTCCCTAATTTTGGAATAAAATTATATTTACTTTATACAATTAATTTCAGCATGCAAACATATATGAGCACATTGTTTACAATGGCCAGAATTATGATAAGGTTATGGTATTAATTTCTATTCACTTATTAGTAAAGAATTGATTATTATTGTGTCAGGTGAAATTAAGGAAAAGATCTGTCTTTATCTGGTCTCTTCTCATCATTTTTTTATTATCTGGCCCTTCCCATGACCCAAACCTATGTTTAAAGTAGGTATTTTATTGAATAAGAGGCCTTTATTTTTAAATTTTAAACTACAGCAACATTCCATGATGAGAATTGTCACACATACAATTATCAAATATAAAATTTTGTCATATTTGTTTCAGATTTAAAAAAATATAGATTCAGTAAATTTAGCTACAATAATCATTTCATTTTGAGTTTACACTATGTGCCAGGTGCTGTTCTAGTTACAAAAACTGCAACAGAACAAGTCCCTGCTCCCAGGAACTTCCACTGCAATTATCCACACCTTTATCGACGTGCCTTTAATTTGTCAGACTCTTGTTCTTTGCCAGCTGATGAGCTGGAAATTACACTCATTCACTCTACATTTCTCTGATTTTTGCTGAGTTAGACATTCTTCATATGTTGATGAATATTCTGTTATCCTGTTCTGTAAATTCCCCGTTCATATCCTTTGCTAATTTTCCTGTTTTACTTTTAATTTATAAGCGCTCTAGCTCTTTCTCCCTCACCCTCCTTTTCTTTTCTTCTGGATGTTCATTCTTAATCGGTTAGGTGTATTGCAATTAACATACCTGAGTAGTTTGCTTCTCTTATTTGTTAAGTAGCTTAAACAATAAAGGAAGTTAATTTCCTTGGCTGCATTATTCCCAGGGTGGTTTTCTAAGCAATGGTCCATTCAGTGGCTCAAATGATCAGAATCCAGGTGCTGTCCACACACCGCTGGTTTCCCTAAACCCATCATAAGCGAAGAGAATGGTCAACATTAACAACTGACTCTGGCCTTTTAGAATTGACTCCTGAGCTGGGAATGGTGACCCCTTCCTTGAAGGAAAGAGTCTGACAGCATCAGAGTTGTATCAGCACAGAAGATGGGAGTGGATGTCTGCTTTGCAGGCAATGCAAAGTGCATGCTACGCCTATGTCATTAGTTTACAGCGATTGTAAATGGGCTCTCTGGTCAACTGCACCTTTAAGCATTTATCACTGATTTATACTGATACCAGTGACTATTTTATTAAACAACCTTGCTGAATTCCCTCACTGGCTCAAATAGCATAATAGTAATTTGCTTGGAATTTTTTGAACACTGGCATGTTTTAAGGACAATTTTATATTTTCCTTTTAATTCTTCCATCACTTATTTCTTTTCCTTCTTTTATTGTATAGGCTAAGATACCTTCTACAATGTCTAATACCAGCAGAGATAGAATCTTTGTCTTGTTTCTAATTTTAATAGTAATCACATTTTTTCCTAAATAGACTCATGTACTAGAACCAATCTCAAAGTGTGTGGACATTTCTAAGGGGCATACATAAGCTTAGTATATATCAGATGTTTAACAGCTGTGCAGAGGAGAAATCGGCTATAATGAGGGGCCTTGAGATCCTCATTGGAAGAAGTTTCCAAGTTTCTTGCCAGCTTCTTGGTAAGTATATGGTAACAACAACAATTCAATTTTATCTCAGAAATAGGATTCAGGGTTACACTCAAAGCTTTAGATATTTCCTTGATCCCTCGATAACAGTAAACAGGGATACATTTCTCAACAAGTTCATTTGTTTATTTTCTTTATTCAACTAACTTTTTTTTTTAATTACTAACTCTGGGCCAAATTTTGGAAGCACATAATATAAAGCAATTTAGACCTTGTCCCTTTCTTTCAGTTTCCGTATTCTTTGTCAGAGATAAATATGTACAAATATTAATAGTACGTGCTACAGGGTGTTACATACAAAGTGCCAGGAAAGGAATGTTGAAAAACTCATCGACAGGTCAAACGGAAGGAAACCAGCTGTGACGCTGTGGGTGGGTCCGTTGGTGAGAGGGGCCCTGAATCGGAGCAGCGGAGTCCGCAGTCACAGGCTTGGGCGGCGGGAAAATGGGCTCAGGGTCTTCAGTGAAGGCTGGAGCGGTGGGATCCCATCCAGGCCTGAGGGTCGAAGTCCAGCAACTATTCTTCTGTCTCTTCTGCTGTTTGGTTGCTGTGGTTGCTTTGCTACCTTCAGGTTTCCAGGTTGGTTGAGCTTCTGAGACAATGTGTGGGTGTGTTAGCAGACAGAAAACAGATACTGTTTTGTTCTCCTCTTTCTTCGGGGCGTTCCCAGAAGCTGGGGTTCTGTGACAAATTGTTTTTATTCACCCGGAGCCCCAGTGCTCACTGACAGTCTTGCTGAGTAACTGGTGAAGCCCCCTTACTATCTTTCTAGAGCCTAAAACATTAAATCCGGTTTAAAAGGTTTTATTCTGTCTACCAAACTCAGCTTTGGACCCCGATGAACCAGCGATATTCTCTCATGTACCGATGGGTCCCATTCACAATTACCCACAACAGGGGGAAGAGTCAGGCTAAACCTTGTACTTATCATTGAAAACCAGCAAGGGCTGCTTTCTGCAGGTTTGTCATCTTGGGTATCCAAGACCATCTGGACCAAAAGAGCAAGCTCTACACAGATCAGGTAAAGGGCACACACAGACTGCATCCCAGAAATTGTCGTTAAAAGACTTTTAACAAGTCAGACATAATTGGTGCCATTCAAAGATTGTCACCGCCCTGTTACTTCTTCAAGAATGCTATTACAACCTGAGGATGCCAATAAACTAGGGTGAAATTAGCCTTGCCAACAGGAAAATGAATGTGCAGTGTTTCTGCACTCGGA